ATATATATAATATAATATAATATAATATAATATAATATAATATAATATAATATAATATAATGTATATGTATATAAAATAAAAAATAAATAATAAAAAAAACATAATAAAAAAATATAACAAATAAGTAGGGGACTGTCTGTACATAAATTTTGTTGGTATTTGTGCTACTTCACACCATAATGTGAAGGTCAACATGCAGTGTGATATACTGTATACATAAAATGTTTTGATGTGCAGTGTATTCCAATCATTTAAATGGGGGGAAAAAAAGGATAACAAAACAGGAACATTTAAAGTGCATGGGGACAGAGAACATCAACAGACTGTTTCAGTTATAGTCTTCCTGGTTCAATATGATGTGTGTCTTATAAAATTGATAAGTTAGGAAGCAGTTAGAAATTTGGAATTTAGGATACTAATTAAATATAAACAACATATATGCTTGAATATCAACCAAGCATATCAACAAGGCATTTTTCAAATCCTTGTGTTTCATAAAGACTGTGGAATAGCTAATGAAAATATGTACTTAAAGAGCCTTTATTTTGGAGTGAGATAGTTTCTAATAAATAATCAAACAATGCTATGCATAATCTGTAACTGAGGTTACTTACCTCTCCTACTATCTCTTTTTGTTTTACTAGGTTCTTCATAATCCCCTACCCAGTTATATTCTACGGGCATAGATATAGGCCTTAGCTTCCCTGCAAAAAATAAATCAGATTGCTTTGACTTCAACATACTAGTGAAAAACTTGCAGAGTTAGGATAACTAAATTTTATTCAAACACATGCATAAAATTAGATGTGATTTAATGACATCAAATGGATATTTTTACAAATCTTTTACATACAAGGACAAAAACATCCCCTCAATATAATAGATACATTAATTGTTCTAAATCATGAATGTTGCTTTTCATAACTTTCATATGTAACACATTTGCATGGAACATGGTCATATATACATATCAGCATGAATTAGTTCAATACTATGGGTGCATAATACTATCTAACAGTATAGAGTGAAAAGAATTTGAACCCTGCGTTTAATCTTTTGCTCAGCATAACATTAAATATATATTCAAATTCTAAGGGGGAGAAACTGCAAAAATAACTTTGATACTTTGTCCAGGATTCTCTGCTGTTCTAGTCTTATTTCACTCAACATACAAAATTAATCAAACCAAGCCAGTAAAGAAAACAAGCACATAGAGTAGATATCTTTCTTATCATACATTTCTAGGAAATGTCTCATTCTTCTCAGCAGTCTGCTCAGTTTTTTATACTAACTACCTCTGTACTGAAAGTTAATATACAAAACCCTTTTGATATAACATATATGTATATATGTATGAGATACAGGAACAAGATTTCCAATTTTGTAAAATTAACTGTTTTTCTTTTTTTGAAACTCCTACTCCTATGGAATAAATCCATCTCTTATTACCAAATACAATAAAATGTAGTGCTTAATAGGAACCTTTTCAAAATGGATTAAATCATTAGTAAGACACTGGTAATGTCGCCCAGAGTTCCCCCATTGGGAGGAGATGGGCGGGGGAGAAATTTAGCGAATAAACAAACAAACAAACAAATAAATATTAGAGCTGATAATTAAAGACGCTGAAAGTTGCCGGCCAGAAATGGTCGACGCTTCAGCGGTTCAAGTCCAGCCTTCACGTTAAACAGGGTGAGCTC